ATCAGGTACATTGGTAAATACTTTAATGTAGACATTCGTTGAAAAGGCGCAAGCTATCGCTTGAGACCACGAAGGTAAGAAACGAGAGTAGGATAAAATAAACCTTTCTTAATAAGAACGAAATAACCCTGATGCAGCAGATGATGTTATTTTTTTTTTCAAGCCTTTTAAATTAAAACTCTTTTTCTTTTGTAGTCCAATAAGGAATTATTGGGGTATATGAAACATTGAACTTGTGAGAGAATGCGGACGACAGGAGGACGAGATTTGTGGAAAAGCGGTGAGGCATAGCGGGGTAGGTGGGGGGTGGGTGGCGATGGCGAATATGACTCCACAAAATAATCGATGCATTCATTAGCCTGGCGACCCCGCCCGGCGGCGGGGCGGGGCGGAGCGCATCAGCAGGGCTCTGTGATTGATATGGTTAGCCCCCATACCCCTCTTCCCCCTTGTGCGGCAAGGGGAGGAGCGGTGAAACGTTTAACGCAATCGAAACGATTGCGGAGGAATAAAATACAGCGACTGCAACAACGCGCGGCGACCCGGATCTTTGCCTGATTCTATCGCCATCGTCGAGTATGATATTACGCCCTTCTCTCAGAAGGCACACTGATTCGCATAGATGTTCGGGGAAGACAACGCTCAAAAAAAAGGGCGTGAGCATCGCCTCTGGTGCAGGTAAACACTTAAAAGAACCTGGCCGGGCGCATCATTTCCGGAGGGCAATAACGCCCTCTCTCGTGCGCACCTCAGAGACTATCCCGGTCGCACTTGAAAGAAAGAAAGAGAGAGAGAGCGCGCGAGGGAGTGAGAGAGAGGGAGAGAGAGAGAGAGACGGATAGCCTCCTCGACCTCCCCCCCCGGATCCGGCGGACGCGGCCAGAGCCGGCCGATTAGCACCCCGTTAAAAATGCCGCACGGGATTGGGCCGCCGGGCCCCGCCACGCCCCACTCGGCTTTAATTGCGCTCAGACCGTCTCTCCCATCCTCCTCCTCCTCTACCCAAAGGAGGTGTGTTTCAATCGGTGGGAAGGAGAGGGGAGGGATCGGGGAGTGCCGGAGAGAGAGAGAGA